TAATAAATAATTAAAGGGAAAGAATTCTTCAAGGAGTTGATACTCCTGTTTTGCAATCCAAACGGGGGTTATTACTCTGTTTTCTTCACCCTTGTAAATTTATTCCTTACTATTACTGTTGCTGTTGTTTGGACAACCAAGATTCTAACCAAAATAACTCCTAATAGATATTTTATTGTAGTCTGTTTAGTGAGGGGGAACAACAGAGGGAAAAGATAGAATTTAAAATTCAATATATTTTCAATTACCTGTCCTATTTCTCCTGTTTTTTCAGTCCAGTCTATTCAGACAAGTTTTAGACATCCCATAGCCCCAGGAAAGCCTTGCAAGAAGGACTGAGAACTATTAGATTAAGACATTTGAAGAAGCTGTATTCTGGAATTTACCACTATTTAAACTAATATGTTTTAAAACTTATTTTAGTGCATAGCTATAGCACTGAAGTCAGCATTTCATGAGCCTTTATACAAGAAAACTTCCAATTAAGAAGCTGGATTCGGTGTACAGTACAGCTTGAACTGCCAGCTCATTTTTCAGTATTCAGTACATAAATTTCAGTGTGCATAATTTAATCTCAATTAATCTCACTAGGAAAGAGTAAAGCCTTACCTAGTGACACATTGTTAAATAAAATGTTTTAGAATGCAAGATACTTCTTTGCATGATGCCAGCAAGAGTATGAAAAGTAAACATAATTTAGATAACTTTTCTGTATCATAAAATTTAACTCTTCTATTACTTCATTCATCCTTGACTTTTTCTATTTTCTGCCAGATGGATAAATGAGGCTGTTAGATTACATTGTTTTTTTAATACCTAATTTTCCATTTTTAAGTTTATTCATCCTGTATTATATATGCAATTTGACTTCAGGACCTATCTGACAGTGTCATTTGAAGTTAGTACTATGATATACACAGTTTTCTGTAGCAATGACAGGCTTCTTTCACTAGAGAAAGAAGAAAAATACTTTCCCTTGCTTTGCTACAACTCCAGAAGGTAGGTGAATATATGTTTCAATTTCGTGGTGGATATCTGTAATGAATTATACAACAGCTTTTCTGCAATGCCTACAGATGCTTACAAAAAGCCAAAGTGAAACTTTGAAAAATAACCTTTTCATTCATTTTATGAATGTGTGTGAGTTCATACTTCAACTAGAAAAGAAAATACTAAATACTGAGTAAATGCAGTTAATCTCTTTGGACAACTATAATTTAAACCCCCAGACATCTATTAAAAAAACGAAGTACAGAGATACTGGGAAGTCTTTGCTAATACCAGGCTTCAATGAGCCAATATGCCTTCTGTCTCAAGATACACAATAGGTAGCTGGGTCACCTCCTAGCACAAATCAACATAACCAAATCTTCAATGTTTTTTGTCTTTTTTTAGTCCTTTTGAGCATTCATCTGTTGTACACAGTTACTTACTCAACCGCACAAGTCGTGCTACATCTCTTCAGTGCAGGCAGTCTGTGGTGACACTGTGACAGCTGCCCTGCCTGGACTAACTAGGAGGGACTTGCATACCTGCACACCTGCTGTTCTAGACCTCTGGTGCTAAGTTATATCCCACTCCATATTGCTAGGAATGTATTGCAGATATTCCATAACCATCTGAATGTATGCAATGTCCCTTCTTAGACTAAATTCCATGCCTGATTTATCTGCATCTCCATTTAACATGTATTTTACATGCATATCAAATTACAGTGCAGTGTTAACTGGATTTAAGCATTGGAGTAGCAACATACTGTCATCTGCATGGTACATGTGAGAGCAAAGCAATCTACAGAAGGATAACAGTGGCTTGTGTTTGGTATGCACTAAAAACTAGAATCCATGTTTGTAAGCAAAAGAATTGAGGTATTGGTTTCCCTTTCCAGGATCTGTTAAAATCTTGATACAGGCAAAAGAGACTACGGAGAAGCTAGAAAATTGCTGTTATTCCCATTAATGTTAATACAAAACTTCCTCATATTTACCTTTTCCTTGGTGCCATGTTTATCCTTTCAATGTGTCCCCAGTTTATAAATTTGATGTTTTAGTCTTCCTTAAGAAAGTAGTTGGCGGTGTCATTAGGATCTCCTGGCCTTTTGGTAGGAGGTGTCCCACACTCCCCAGAGGGGTCACTCCCAGAACTGAAGCTGGAGCAGGGAAGGCAGCAGTGACTGAGCCCTGTTGAAACCCAGATCAGGCCATAGTGAGGCTGAGGCCCCAGCACACAGCTGGGGCATCCTTCTGATAAGGTGTCCTGGGTTCAGCAGTAGCAGTCATTTTTTCTCCTTCTTAGAAGCTGGTGCAGTGCTGTGGTTTTGACTTTCAGCCTGGAAACAGCACTGATAACACCGATGTTTTTAGTTGTTGCTCAGTAATGCTTACTCTAACCAAGGACTTTCTGAGTCTCATACTCTGCCAGGGAGAAGCAGAAGCCAGGAGGAAACAGAAACAGGACACCTGACCCAAACTAGCCAATGAGATATTCCATACCACAGCACGTCATGCCCAGGATGTAAACTGAGAGTTACCTGGAAGGGCTAGTTCACTGCTTGGTCGGGTTGGGTACCGACGGGTGGTATTGTATTCTCTTCCCTTATTATTTCCCTTATCATTATTATTATTGGTGGTAGCAGTAGTGGTTTTGTGTTGTACCTTAGTTACTGGCCTGTTCTTATCTCAGTCCGTGGGAGTTGCATTCTTTCGATTCCCCCTGTCCCTCCGGGAATGGGGTGGGGGGGAAGCAAGCGGGGGGAATGAGCGAGCGAGACTGTGTGGCTGATCGAGTTTAAACCATGACATAAGGGCAAAAAACAAGTTTTCTGAGCTAGAGATTCACTCACAAATAGAAACTCTGGTATTATAGATATCTGTATACTTTTTTCTTTTTTAATTTATTGTAGAGAAACAGTTCAGCTTTGCAGCAAATTAAAACTGCAAATCAATCCATGATTCAAAGCTTTTGACATCATGTTCAGTATTTTAGTGCTGCTGAAATATTAATGGAAGGTCATATTCATTAAAATCTAATGTGGTGATTGTATTTTTCCTGCTACAAGTGTAGTAGACTTAATTACTTTTAGATCATAGGTCTTGATATTATTTCTAAGACAGGCAGGAAAAGATATTTGAAGTTCAGCTGTGTCAGTGTTACGCCAGCAGAGTTTTTATCAAAACTGTGTTCAAGACCCATTTCATAGATTGACTTAGAAATGATAGCATTTATTAAACACCTTGTATCATTTAGAATCTTGTAAAAATGTTAAGGCTGAAAATAAGAGCAATCAGATGCTGATATTCAAAGCCTACAGAGCAGTACCGACACTATTATACGGTAAATTTAAGAACTATGCATAGAGCAACCCATGTTGGCCTTGTACATAGTACTATTGAATATATAATGCAAGTAGTAACTAGTACATGTTAATGTTATTACATTAACAAAATATGCACCAAACTCAAAGACCTGACTAGTTTAGACGTTTACCGCATAAAAATGGCAGTATTGAAAAATAGACACATTATAAAGTGCAGATTTTAAATAAAGACTATTAATAACCTATGCATTTAAATATTATTTAGCCTTCCTTTGTGGATTTTCTGTATATGATGTTATGTATTAAAGTTATGTGTAAGCATGCCAGTAGAATTTTATGTAGATTATTATAAATTATATTTATAAGGACTTTTAGATCCCTCACCTCTAAACTTCAGTCTGGATTATAAACAAATTAATAATTTTTCACTGGTTTAATCCTCAACACATAGTAAGAGATTAAATTGTTACTAAGGGGGCCAGAGTTCTCCTGTTTGCATTGATATACGACTAACAGAACAAAACCTCTTTCTGTACTATTAGTTTGTAGTTTTACATTGTTCTAGGTCATTGCCACAGATTTGGGCTTGACTAGCAGCATAGGTCAGCCACTTTGTTTCATGTGACATGAAGATCCATGACATTAATTTTGAAATTACATTCCTACTACCATGCTGTCTATGATTTTACAGGATCCTACTGACTTACAGTTACTAATTACAATTATATAAATTACCTAAGTAGGATTTCCACAATTCTAACACAAAAATATAGGGATAATAAAGAAACAAACAGCCACATGAACATTATCTTCTGTTAAAAATAAATAAAAAAGAAACTTTCTGCCAGATGGATCAGTAGGGAGCATTGCTATAATCAAGCCTTCCTTAACTTGTTAGTTCTTTCCAGCTTCCAAATAACATTTATGTGGATCAGGAATATGTAAGATTATTGTAAGATTTTCTCCTCCCCTGGAAGGAGACCTCTGGACATGATAAGGAGAGGATCAATCAAAGAAAGGGATTTTCTTATTTTATGATATGTGGATCAGCTGTGGAACAATCCACCTTGAATTTTCATTCACACACTTCAAAAATAAAAAAAATGGAAGCACAAAAGAAGCCATCTCCAGTCTTATACAATTTGTATATCATCCTACATTGTGGGGAAGAGATATCTTGCTCAAGTTATATAAAATTTGTAGATTGTTGGGGTTTTTGGTCAGTTACAGAATGAAATTGTAAACTTGGTTTCTAATGATAAAGCATTTTTATACCGATTTTATGTCCAGAGGAAGCAAGATGTAATATTGTTTTTTTTCTTTTTAGTATTATAGCAAGCAACTAATAATTTTCAGAAAAGAATTCATAAGATGCATCAAGTTCATTGTTTATAAAAGTTTTCTATTTAAATATTTTCATTGGAAGCTTCATATTAAAAGCTATATAGCTGCTAGTTTGTCCCATCTAAATAGCTAAAATTTTATTATTGTGCAGTTTCTTTTAGTTATTGCAAGCAGTCTATGTAAAACAAAGCTACTTAGTGACTAATCAAAGGTAAAGAAAGAAGATTAAAAAAATTCAATTAATTTGTGAGAAATTCAAAGTGAAAATAATGTTGACATTAGTCATTAGTGACCCATATATTCAAGATTTCTTTTTACCCTCCTCTCGTCTCGATAACAGGTGCATATGTCCCCTTGGTTACACTGGCACATTTTGTGAACGTGATGCTAGCAACTGCGTTGGAAACCAGTGCTCCAAATATGGTTTCTGCCAGGACCACTTGCATAATTACAGCTGTATTTGTGTGCCTGGATATGAAGGACCCTTCTGTGAAGTTGAAATTAATGAGTGCTCAAGTTCACCTTGCAGAAATGGAGCTACCTGCATGGATTTAATTGACCACTTTTCATGTCAGTGTGCTGCTGGGTTCAAAGGTAAGTTTTCTCTTTTGAAGTGACTTGTGCTACAGATGTGATTGTCCAGTTATGTGTAAGAGATGTATATATGATTGCATAATAACAATTTTTTATATATGTAAAAGTATGTATCAGTTTGAATGAATTAGCATGGAGGTGCTTAGATTGTGTCTTCTAATTGTTCCTCAGGTGACTTTCCCTCCACTAAATATACCATTCTGAGTATAAGATTTTGTGCTTTTGTAAAAAAAAATGATCAAGTTCCAAACTACGGTTTTAATTGTATTTTTTTTGATTTTGCTGTTATTCAGCCTGTCCATGTCCGTCTCATGGATTTAGTCAGCACAGACTCATATGAACAAATGTTTTGGTATTGAACAGGAAAATCTAAGTGTGAGGAGGAATGAGATCAGCAGTATCATCTCTTGTCGTATATGGAATATAAATAGCTATATTTGAGTGAGTTGTTCAGACTCCTGTTCTACTCAGCAGAGATAGGGCATCTGCCTATCTTGGACATCTGGTCTAGGATGAGATACACTGTAGATTTCTGCATTGCGTAAACGAATCCCACACAATCTGATAATGTGCTTCCCTTAAGTTCCCGTTTTCTGTTTTGTGTGAATACCCTGATACAAAGAGTATGTGTAGGAGGCAGAAAATAATTTTGGATTCAGCAATTCTGAAGTGTTGCATTCCCAGTCTGTAGTCCAAATCATTGAACAGAAGCATTAATGCTCTGAATGCTTCTCTATCTTTATTGACAATCTGTGGTACACTACCACTAAGAAAGACAAAAATAAATAGTATAGTATGTACAGTATCATCTGTACTAACTAGTCATTACTTACAGCTTCTTCTTCAAGCTGCTGAGGGCTTTTGTTCCAATTCAGGGAACATGCATACTACTAGACTTGTAAGTCCCAGTTAAACCACTGAGATAACACATGTATTTGGATTTTGCTGGGTCACTGCCACAGTACTGAGCTACAAAGTAACTATAACTTCAGTGCAAATTTTCATTATAAATTCTGCCCAGCAACACTTACTTTTAATATTTCAGCACTAACATTTTTAATTTTAAATACATTTATATTCCTTTATATTATATACAGTTATGTATGTGAATTACATTTGCAGATTTGTTGGTCTGGAGTTGAGTCTATAATTTCTTGGGCATTTTAAAACATATTTAATAAAAGATGATGCATCTTCTTCTCTTCTGGAAGGCATGCTAAGGCACATGAAAATCAACAAGGTGCTTGGTGACAGCCAGCATGGCTTCACTAAGGGGAAATCCTGCCTAACCAATTTGGTGGCCTTCTATGATGGCGCTACAGAACTGATGGACAGGGGTAGAGCAGTTGATGTCATCTACCTGGACTTGTGCAAAGTGTTCGACACTGTCCCACACGACATCCTTGTCTCTAAATTGGAGAGACATCAATTTGATGGATGGACCACTCGGTGGATAAAGAACTGGCTGGAAGGCTGCATGCAAAGAGTTGTGGTCACTGGCTCAATGTCCAGCTGGAGACCAGTAACGAGTGGTGTGGTGCAGGGATTGGTGTTGGGACTGGTCTTGTTCAACATCTTTCTCTGTGACATGGACAGTGGGATTGAGTGCGCCCTCAGCAAGTTTGCCAATGACACCAAGCTGTGTGGTTTTGTTGATACACTGGAATGCCATCCAGAGGGACCTTGACACACTTGTGAGGTGGGCTGCTGCCAATCTCATGAAGTTTAACCATGCCAAGTGCAAGGTCCTACACCTGGTTTGGAGCAATCCCAGGCACAGCTACAGGTTGGGCAAAGAAGAGATTCAAAGCAGCCCTGCGGAGAAGGACTTGGGGGTGTTGGTTGATGAGAAAATGAACATGAGCTGGCAGTGTGCGCTTGCAGCCCAGAAAGCCAACCGTATCCTGGGATGCATCAAAAGCAGCGTGACCAGTAGGTCGAAGGAGGTGATCCTGCCTCTCTACTCTGCTCTTGTGAGACCTCACCTGGAGTATTGTGTGCAGTTCTAGTGTCCTCAACATAAAAAGGACATGGAACTGTTGGAACAAGTCCAGAAGAGGGCCATGAGGATGATCAGGGGACTGGAGCACCTCCCGTATGAAGACAGGCTGAGGAAGTTGGGGCTATTCCGGCTGGAGAAGAGAAGGCTGCGTGGAGACCTCATAGCAGCCTTCCAGTATCTGAAGGGGGCCTATAGGGATGCTGGAGAGGGACTCTTCATTAGAGTCTGTAGGACAAGGGGTAATGGGTTAAAACTTAAACAGGGCAAGTTTAGGTTGGATATAAGGAGGAAATTCTTTCCTGTTAGGGTGGTGAGGCACTGGAATAGGTTGCCCAGGGAGGTTTTGAATGCTCCATCCCTGGCAGTGTTCAAGATCAGGTTGGACGAAGCCTTGGGTGATATGTTTTAGCGTAAGGTGTCCCTGCCCATGGCAGGGGGCTTGGAACTAGATGATCTTAAGGTCCTTTCCAACCCTAATTATTCTATGATTCTATGATTCTATTGCTATCTTAGCAATTCCATTTTCATATAGTCTCAAGATTTATGATCCTGGGACATTTTCCAGCATAGAACAGCTTTGATGCATGTTACAAATCGGTGAAGAGCATTTCAGTGTAATTCTGAAAAAAAAAACACATTTATTTTCATCGATTTTGTGTGTGTGTTTGCTGTGTCCTTTATCTGTAATTCAGGTTTTACATATCCAGATATAGTACTTTTTTTTCTTTTATAAATAGTGAGTTCACTTTCAGATGAAATATTAAAGGCAATAGTAAATAAAGAAGTTATTGTTGCCCAGGACCGTGTAAATCTTTGGGGAACTATCATACTTTGTGAACTAGTATTTATAGATTTGCAAATAAGCCACCGAGTTCCCAGTCACCAGCTTGTTTTCTCTCCTGCTAATGAATAAATCTCTGGGTGCTCTTTGATATAACATTAGAATCAGTTTTTATTTCAGAAGCAAAATTTTGCATAGAGAACTCATAGCTGTCTTCTCTCTCTAGGTGATTGATCTGATGTCTATCAGCATTTCTAAAACACATTACATTGTATTAGCTAGGGACCCCTTAGGCACTTTTCATAAAAAATCCAAGGCTTGGTTATTTGCACAGTAAAAACAAGTACTTTATAACATCATGTACCAAGTATTTTCTTTTGAACTATAAACTGTACGTGTGATTGAAACTTTAAAATGGAGATACTTCATGACTGGAGTGCTCTCCACTGCCTGGAAAAGAATTTGGCCTATAGCAAACCTGGAAATTTACAGTATGATGTTTAAAAACTGAATCAGAATCATAGAATAGTTAAGGTTGGAAAGGACCTTAAGATCACCTAGTTCCAACTCTCCTGCCATGTTCAGGGACACCTTCCACTAGACCATGTTGCCCAAGGCCCTGTCCAACCTGGCCTTGAATTACAGATAAATGAATTCAAAGTGAATGAGTGAGCCTAGTGGAGGCAGTGCAGTCACTAAGGAAACTATAGCCCGGCAGCATGTAAACAGGTCAGGCAGATCCAAGGGCTAGTAACAAGGTCCCTCATAAGCCCCAGGCATTGCAAGCGGTGAACAAAGTGCAGGGTCATAGAATCATAGAACAGTTAGGGTTGGAAAGGACCTTAAGATCAAGTTCCAATCCCCTGTCATGAGCAGGGACACCTCACACTAAACCATGTCACCGAAGGCTGTGTCCAACCTGGCCTTGAACACTGACAGGGATGGAGCATTCACAACTTCCTTGGGCAACCCTTTCCAGTGCCTCACCACCCTCACAGTAAAGAATTTCCTCCTTATATCCAATCTAAACTTCCCCTGTTTAAGTTTTAACCCGTTACCCCTTGTCCTATCACTACAGTCCCTAATGAAGAGTTCCTCCCCAGCACCCTTACAGGCCCCTTTCAGATACTGGAAGGCTGCTATGAGGTCTCCATGCAGCCTTCTCTTCTCCAGGCTGAACAGCCCCAACTTTCTCAGCCTGTCTTCATACAGGAGGTGCTCCAGTCCCCTGATCATCCTCGTGGCTCTCCTCTGACTTGTTCCAACACTTCCATGCCCTTTTTATGTTGAGGACACCAGAACTGCACACCATACTCCAAGTGAGGTCTCAGGAGAGCAGAGTAGATGGAGGCAAGTTAGACGTAACAGGAGACAAGACCAGAGACAACACTATGATATACATACAAGTAATCCATTCAAAAAGAAAAATTGTTTATAGTGTGGGCTGAAGTCTGTTCTTGAGACAGGGCCAAAGGCAGGAAATAGCGCATCTACAGAATAGCTCAGGCCAGATCTGAGTGCCTACAGCTGGGTGGAGCTGAGCTGAAGTGATGCTCCTTGGACAATGGGCTGATTGTATGGGAAGGTCACACATGGGGCTGCTTAGGGAAATTAGGGACTACTAGTGATCTCAAGGTCCTGATATCTGCTTATATTAGCAGAGTCACCTGATACTATAAAAGTATTCCGCTGCACGAAGGAAGGCATTTGGGTTCAGTTGGTTAGTTCACACACTCTTTCTGTGTTTGAAGTACCTGCTTCATTTCCATTCATACAGTTCCTATTTTAATAGGGCAAGGCCATCCTATGAGTACAGCTCATGTCTGCTTCCACATCTCCACCACCAAACAGGTCTAAGTTGGGTGTGTGACTCAGGGTATAGGGCAGTGCAGACTCTGTGGTCACTCTGGCTGGCTTTTTCTGCCAGGGGAGACTGATTATCCTTAGTACCCTTTGCCAGTGCAGCTAGCCTGTCAGATGTACAGTGTAATCCTATGGAGAGAGATGAGGTGGGCTCTCAGCAGATTATGGAGTTGAAGAGCCACAGACTTTCTCCAAGTTAAAATTCTTTCAGGGAATCTAAGACAGTGAAGTGGTTTAAGACAAGATCATATAAATCAGTTTCAATCTCGAATAAGAGTTCATAGAAAGGTTTACGCTATATGAGGTAAATAATAATAAATAATTATAAAGAATTAATTTGGATTTTTAACTGCT